AAGTGACCCTGGGCCCTTTCATTCTTCACAGGTATAGAGCACTGTGCTTCTACTTTAGTTGCAATAGTTAGATCCTATGTTATCTTGGGATCTGCAGTTTAGGGAGAGGTACTTGGAATTCTCTGCCAGAGAGTGCTAGTGCCTCCCCAAACTACATAGGATTTTGGTATGTCAAGTTAAAGAGAAATCATAATGCTAACCCTGTGTCATGTGAAAGGGCCCCACGTTATTAAAAGCTCTGCTCAGCTCTTGCAGGTTCAGGGCAGCTGGAGCATCTTGGACCGAGTCAGTCTACCTGCCATGTAGTCTTCCTCTTTTCTTACTACTTTCCACATTACCCAACATTATCCTGTTTTCCAAGAGCCAGCAGGACACTGAGAGACCTGGGTTCGAACCCCTGCTCAGCCATGGAATCCCATTGGGTGACCTTGGGCAAGTCCCACTCTCTCAGCCGCAGAGGAAAGCAAAGACAAACTCCTTCTGAACATATCCTGCCAAGAAAACCCTGTGATAGGATTAAGTCAGAAGTGACTTGAAGGCACACAGCAGCTCCTCCTTTTCCTCCATTGTGAGTCACATCGTCTCATTATGTTTCCAAAGTACAACAGCCTCAGTTTACTCATTTTGGCTTCCAGATTTTACTCTTGGGCCCATTGATTTGTCTTTTTGGCAGTCTGTGGTACCTGTGAACCTCTCCTCCAGCACTACATTTCCAAGGAACTGATTCTCTTCCTGTCACTTCTAAAAGCAGGTGTAGTTGAGATGGAATGTATAGTACTTTCCCATCAGGGAGGGAGAGTTGTGACTTTAAAAAGCGGGTTATGCATATTCCCTCTAGGCCCCAGGTGCAGAATCTGGAGAAGACATGGTGGTACCTGGTTAGTCTCTGTTGTGGTCACCTGTTTGTGCACATGCAACTCCTTTCTGTGTATTCTTACCTAGCAAGGAGGAAGGAAGGAAAGACATTTTGCTGTGGGGAGGGCAGAAATGAAAGCTTAACTTGCTAGAAATGAAAGCTTAACTTCAGGGAGCCCCATTTTGTCCACACACACCCCCCCAGCATTCTCTAGATCATAGAACTGGAAGAGATCCCAAGGGCCATCCAGTCCAACCCCCTTCTGCCATGCAGGAACTCAACATCAAAGCAACCTCTGAGACAGATGGCCATTCAGCCTTTGTTTAAAAACCTCCAAAGAAGGAGACTCCACCAAAACCTCCGAGGGAGTGTGTTCCACTGTCGAACAGTTTAGGATGTTGGGATGATGGAGCTTTGGGTGCTGCCCTTCAGGGAATGTTTTGGGGCCTCTTGGTGCAGTCTTTCATGATGCTTTTATGGGTTTATGCCAAAAGCATTGGGACCAGTAGAGTGAAATTGCAGCTTACGTTCTAATAAGAGCAGTTTGCCAGTGGAACCCATTGCTTGAAGAGGTGGTGGGTGGATGTCTGCGAAAAAGGGCTGGACAGGGGATGCTGTAGCTGGATTACCTTTCCTGGGTGGGATGTTGAACTTGATGGCATATGAGGCCCCTTCCAACTTTGTGATTCTATGATACAACATCCCAACCCTCCACTTATCTCCTAAGGATGCTGAAGAAATCAACAAGAGCTCTATTGCTGCATATCCCTGTGGCGGCTAGGCTGAGGTTGTGATCGGAAAGACATGAACCCAGATGGAGGCATCATCACTCCGGGGACCTGAATGTCAGATCATAGAATTATAGATTTGGAAGAGACCCCAAGGGCCATCCAGTCCAAACTCCCTGCCATACAAGAACACAGAATCAAAGAACCCCCAACAGATTGCCACCCAGCAGCCTCTGTTTAAAATCCTCCAAAGAAGGAAACTCCACCATCCTCCAAGGCAGCATCTCTTTTCCTGTTGTGTGAATCCATTTCTCCGAGTCCTATTCTCTGGAGCAGCAGAAAACAAGTTTGCTCCATCCCCAATATGACACCCCTTCAAATACTTAAACATGGCTATCATATCACCTCTTAACCTTTTCTTCTCCAGGCTAAACATACCCAGCTCCCTAAGCTGCTCTCATAAAACATGCTGGTTTTGAGACCTTTCACCATTTTGGTTGCCCTCCTCTGGCCACCCTCCAGATTGTCCATATCCTTCTTAAATTGTGCTGTCCAGAACTGGACACAATATCCCAGGCGAGCCCTGACCAAAGCAGAATAGAGTGGGATTATAACTTTCCTCGAGCTAAACATAGGGCCTTTTCAGACTGCCAGAAATAGTGCAAATTGAGTCCACTTTAACTGACCTGGCTCAGTGCTAGGGAATCATGGGAATTGTATTTTTTTCTGCGACATTGAGCCTTCTCTGCCAGAGAGCTCTGGTGCCACAATAAACTACAGTTCCCATGATTCCCTAGCACTAAGCCTGGACAGTTAAAGTGGCTTCAATTTGCACTATTTCGGGCAGTTTGTAAAGGCCCATAGATTAGGCGAGGTGAGCTGTGCCCTCTTGAGCATTTAGGGTCAGTGTTCTAGGCTTCTAGAATTGACACCAAGCCCAGCCAAACTGAAGGATTTCTACTGATTTCCCTTTTCAGGACGTTGCATTCACACCATCCTCCCCGCTCTGGAGGCAGATTCCCTGACCATTGGCAGAGACCTCGTGGCTGTTGTGGTTGTGTGCCTTCAAGTTGTTTCTGATATGGTGACCCTAAGACCATCATAGGTTTTCTGGGGCTGAGAACATATGACTCATCCAAGGTCACCCAGTGGGTTTCCATGGCCAAGCTTTTCAAGCAGACCTCACAAGCTTCTGTCCCTGATCCAGTACAACCCCTTGCCATGCAGGAATTCACAGTCAAAGCACCCCCAACAGATGGTCACCCAGCCTCTGTTTAAAAACCTCCAAAGGAGACTCCACCAAAATCTCTAAGGGAGTGCGTTCCACTGTCAAACGGCTCTTACTGTCAGGAAGTTCCTCCTAATGTTGAGCTGGAATCTCTTTTCCTGGAGCTTACATCCATTGCTCCTTGTCCTACTCTCTGGAGCAACAGAAAACAAGCTTGTTCCCTCCTCAATATGACATCCCTTCAAATATTTAAACAGGGCTAACATATCCCCTCTTAACCGGCTCTTCTCCAGGCTAAACATCCCCAGCTCCTTAGTCTCTCCTCATAAGTCTTTATGGTTTCCAAACTGTCACCATTTTAGTTGTCCTCCTCTGGACAAACTTCAGCTTCTCCACATCCTTTTTGAATTGTGGCACCCAGAACTGGACACAGTGTTATTCCAGGTGAGGCCTGACCAAAGCATAGTAGCGGGGCACTATTACTTCCCCCAATTTAGACACTATACTCCTATTGTTTCAGCCTAGAATCGCATTGGCCTTTTTAGCTGCTGCATCACACTTTTGATGTGTCCTTCCTTATGCCTTTTAGTGCTGGATGGTAAGCGATTGCTGTAAACTTCTAACGTATAGGTTTCTTAGCCACCTTGAGGTCTTAGGAGGAGAGGTGACATGCAGGTTTTGCAAGCAAATGAGTAACTAAATATGTCTTGTCCTCTTGCTGTGGAGTCTCTGGTACCAGTCCTGTTCCCTGGTCTGGGACCTTGATGGATGTGTTGGGTACTTTTTTGGCTGTGCAGGATCTTGGGCAAAGTCTAAGAAAAGGTAAATACGGGGCTGGCAATTGACTCCACAAACCCAGAATCATGTTTTGTGAAGCTTGAGAGGGTGTTGTTGTGTGCCTTCATGTCATTTCCAACTTATGGCAAACGTAAGGGTGAAACTATCCCAGGGTTTTCTTGGCAAGATTTGTTCAGAAGGGTTTGCCCTTTCCTTATTCTGAGGCTGAGAGAGTGGGACTCGCCCAAGGTCACCCAGTGGCTTTCTAAGGCTGAGTGGAGATTTGAACCCTGGTCTGCAGAGTCATAGTCCAGCGCTCAGACTACTATAACACACTGAGTACTTTGTCTCTAAAGAAAGATTAAACATGATTTTTCTTGCTTCCAGGAGAACAGGGAGTGTGTGAGTTGCATAGACGCAAGAAATCTTTAAACTCATCAGTGTTCTTGTAAACTGTTAAGAGATCAGATGACAAATTATGGAGAAATGCCAGTCTGCTGAGCATCATATTAAAGGCAAACTTTTTGCGTTCCAGAGTCAGTTTTTCTCTTAAAATATACATGGGCGCTGTGACTACATCTGATTCTAATTCTCCCCTGCTCTGCCATGATGACAAATATTTTTCTTTTTTTGTACTTTGCATTTAATCTGCAAAGATTCCCCAAATGCTTTGACAGTTGTATAATCGTGTTGCTGTGTGTTTGTGGAAAGCCAGCCTGCATGAAAGGGAGAAGATATTTTGGTTGGGAAAGTTATAATTTCATTTCTCTCCAGGAGAGAGCATCCAAAATGGATAAGAGGGCTGGAAGCAAGT